TTTTTTTTTTTTTTTTTTTTTTTTTTTTTTGAGACAGAGTTTCACTCATGTTACCCAGGCTGGAGTGCAATGGCGCAATCTCGGCTCACCGCAACCTCCGCCTCCTGGGTTCAGGCAATTCTCCTGCCTCAGCCTCCTGAGTAGCTGGGATTACAGGCACGCGCCACCATGCCCAGCTAATTTTTTGTATTTTTAGTAGAGACAGGGTTTCACCATGTTGACCAGGATGGTCTCGATCTCTTGACCTCGTGATCCACCCGCCTCGGCCTCCCAAAGTGCTGGGATTACAGGCTTGAGCCACCGTGCCCGGCCAAATCTGCTTATGTCTTGATGCACCTAAGAATGTCAGCTGTATCAATATCTTTCATTAATGACTCTTAAAGACTAAAGGTAGAAGTCTTGGATCATGAGCTATGTGGAAGAACACAGTTATCTGAAAAATATGAAGAAAGCATCTAATATAATATGCAGAGTAATGCAATTCAATTCAATTAAAATAAAATTATAACATCATTAAACATCATAAATGATGTGTCTACCTAAGCAGCAACCCTCATTATTTGACTTTGTTTACTGTCTGCCAGGCCCTGAATATCATAACTCAGCATTTAGGAAATTGTGTATATCCATTATGACTCATAATATGTGTAAGATATCTCATCCATGAGGCCTGAAGATTTCTACTTCAAGGGAAGGAACCATCCCTATAATGTAGCTTTCCATGAAGTATAGTAGGCCCTTTTGGGAGATTTCTACTTTAACTGGACTCTATGATACTGACTAGTGCTTGTAGTCTCAACTAAGAGAGGAGATTTTGAATTTCTTTGTGATTTCTTCAACATTACAGGAGATGGAACCTTACATGCCTCTATACACACGTATTCCATGGTACTGTTTTTCAGGAGCCACAGTGACATTATGGGTGAGCATGTCTTTTAAAATTGTTATCATTTCTTCAACAGGCAATTAAATGAGCTATCTCAACAGTGTCATCTGCAATGTCTCTTGAGTCCTTCTTTTCCCTCTGCCTCCCTGATCTTTTTATCTTGGTTATAGCTCTTATACAAAATAAACTGTAATTTATATGGATTTTTTATAATTAAACTTTGGGAAAGGATCTCAGGGAAGAGGAGGTACTTTAGCTTAAAACCTAATTCTCCTTGCCTCATGGCACTTCATTTAAGTGATCACTTGAAATCAGGACAGAATAACAAACTTACTCTGATTCCAGAATCTTCGGTTACTTTTAGAAAAATCATGAATTTATCTTTATTTTCACTTTATTTCCTGCTGTTCCTTTTCCAAATTTGTTCCCTCTTAACAGTTATTTAATTTTAGGAAAAGAGACAGTGTTACCCTCTGAGGGGTTAACATGTTGAAATGTAAATGATTAATGGTTGTAGACTATAATTTAGACTCACCAGTCCATAAATCCTGCATGATTTATCTTTAACATTTCTTTTTAAGTCTATTATTTTCACATTTTAAAACAGTAGAAATGTGTTTTCTTAGATTACATAATAATCGTTGAGATGTGATAACAATAAATGGGGAGAATTATCAATTCAGGACTCTTTTGAGAAATCTTCTGGAGTATGTCCCCAGAAATTTATTCTGGTTTTGATTACTAGTTTTTATTTAATTTGACTCATTTCCTCAACTTTTAGAATAAAATTCTCTAATGATTGATAGAAAGCCATCTTCATGCTTTCGCAATATGGGAAGTATAAAAAATTTATACAGAATCTGTATAAATTTCTAAACTACCAGGCATATTAGAGCACTAATGGCAACATTCTGAGGGGAAATGAAATACAATATTGACATGTATTTTTCTTGGGAAAGTAAGTGATCTTGATTCTACATGTTTAATTTCAACCTAGAGCATGAGTCAGCAAACATTTTCTGTGAAAGGGCCAGATATATTTTTGGATTTGTGGGTACATATAGCTCTGGAACATAATTGTCTTTATTTTTCTCTGTAACCTTTAGAAATTCAAAGAAACATTTCTAACTTAAGGGCCACATAAGAACAGACAAGGCCATGGGCAGGATTTGGCCTTCTACTATAGTTTGTCACTCCCTGCTAGAGGATGAGCCTAGAGTATGAGAATGAATATATTTCTGTTTTAGACTTAACCAGCAGCTGCCATGTGCCTTATCTCTAACCCTTTTACCTTGCCAGTGTTCGTATCTTGCCATCTATGGCAAGAGAGACTGACTTAGTTGGCTTTGCACATGAGACCTACTAAATAGAACTTCATATGAGATGAACAGAATAATCAATGTGTTAGATATGTATTCATAACAGATACAGAGACCCAAGTAACAGTACTTTGCTTTTTTTTCCCCAGATGTCTCTTGTCGTCACCAGTATGGTAGCTGTAATTGTGTACCGCCTGTCAGTCTTTGCCACATTTGCTAGTTTCATGGAAAGTGATGCATCCTTAAAGCAGGTCAAAAGCTTCCTTACTCCTCAGATAGCTACATCACTCACAGGATCGTGCTTGAACTTTATAGTCATCTTGATCCTGAATTTCTTTTATGAAAGGATATCTGCCTGGATTACAAAAATGGGTAAGCTAGCCAAATCATTAGTGTGATTCTGAAGAATGATTCGTATTGATGCTATGTGTCTATTTTGGAGCACTCCCCAGGAGTTCATTTTCAAAGGGCACATTTTAAGGCAGTTTTTCTCTATAGGTAGACCCATATCTGCTATTTCAAAATCATCCAAGAGCCACATTCAAGGTCCATTATAATGGAAGCAGCAAAAAGAACTGGAGAAAAAAAAGAATTTGGACTCTATGTCTTTTTGAGTATTCTTGTCTTAATTCTCCCTTGATGGGTCTAGTTGAATCCTAAGTAAAATCTTTACTTTATTGAAGACACGGATAATTTTTATTTCATGTATGTGGTTCTTACACAGTATTGATTTTGGAAGCTATCTTGAGAAAAACAGAACAATCAGCTTCTCCTAAATAAATCTAAATTTTAGTGATTTTCTTTTTAACTGCCATCTCTTAGAACTTGGATTATTTTCTTGATAAAATATTAAAATTTTTACTTAAACCCATGGGGTAAAGTGAAAGGGGCCACAGTTTAAGTGAGAGATTGAGTTAGGTAAAGCAGCACAGAGCACAGTCACTTCTACACTTTTTCCTAGCAAGTTAGCAGTAAGATCAAAGCTGGAGACTCAAGGCGTCCGCCTCTTCTCTGAGTGCACTTTCCAGGGATCAAGCGCCTTTGAATCTGTTGTATGTAGATATCATGGCCAATGCCAAGAAAAGAGCACATTCTTCAGTCAGCACTGGAATGAGTACTGAGATGAGACTTTCATTATATACTTCTTCAAATTTGGAGTTCTCTTTCAGATTTACTTTTCTCTGCTAGTAACAGTGAGAAAATCACAGCAGATAAATTGCTTTTAAAAAGCACCTAAAAACTCACCATTTTTCTCAGTGGGAAAAGAAATCATTCAAGTTCACATTACAGGTTTTGTAGGAATACAGCTACATTTCACTAAAATGGAGGAGTTACCTCTGTCTTTAAAATAATTTGTAATACTCTTCCAGTATTGCTGGAAATGACATGATTTGGCTGGATCAGCTCATGCTACTGGGAGATTATCAGCTCAGGAAAACGTACTTTTTTATTCTTTTGTGCTTCATGAGCCTCTATTGTAGGGTGAAGATAATTTAATATTTTCTTATCTTTAGAATTCATTAAATGATAGATCATGATCATGCATTTTAAATAAAGGAGAGGGAAAATGTGTACTGTTTCTACTACTATTTGCTGATCACATTGTTTACAGAATTAATATAGCCTTTTAATTCATGGGAAGGCAACACAATTTCATTGGAAATCATCCCTCCCTTTGCATGAGCTTACTTTGTTTAAACATGATTGTAAGCAGATGAGATCTGATGTGCTTATAGGATACAAGATAGTGTTTGGAGATGAGCATAAGATTCTTCAGTCTTATTTGGTGTATTAGTTTGTTTTCACACTGCTATAAAGATACTACCTGAGACTGTGTAGTTTGTAATGGAAAGAGGTTTAATTGACTCATGGTTCACGTGTCTTGGGAGGCCTCAGGAAACTTACAATCATGGTGGAAGGCAAAGGGGAAACAAACACCTTCTTCATAAGGCAGCAGGAGAGAGAGTGCATAGGTAGGTGCTGCACTTTAAAACCATCAGTTTTCTTGAGAGCTCACTCACTACGACAAGAATAGCATGGGGGAAATTGCCCCCATGATTCAGTGGCCTCCCACCAGGTCCCTCCATTGGCACGTAGGAATTACAATTTGACATGAGATTTGTGTGGGGACAGAGAGCCAAACCATATCATATGGGTTTGAATTTCACATTCTGTGTAACCCCAAGACAAGAATACTGTCTCTCTGACTGTAGTAACAACAGCCTCCTAGGCTTTTCCAGTGATTAGCTTAATAAAAAGTGTGTAAGAGAAAGTCTAGCACAAATCCATAGTTACTCAATATTGGCCTACTATTGCCAGAATAGGACGCATGCTATAGGCTCTCAGAATGATGTGACTGGATGTTCACTTGTCTCAGGGAGTACAGAGTTCAAGGAAACATAACATGTGCTAAACCTATTTTTTTTTTTAACTTAACAGAAATTCCTCGAACTTACCAGGAGTATGAGAGCAGTCTAACCTTGAAAATGTTCCTGTTTCAGTTTGTAAATTTTTACTCAGCCTGCTTCTACGTAGCTTTCTTTAAAGGAAAGTTTGTAGGCTATCCTGGAGAATACACATATTTATTTAATGAGTGGAGAGGTGAAGAGGTAAGAATTTCCTTGAGAGGTGAGGTGTGTATCTTCCATACTCATATTAACCACTTTCTGTTTGCCAAGCACTGATTCAGATGCTAAAAATTTGCAAAAGATATCTAGACACTGACTCTATCGACAGAGAGTATTATTCACAGATGAATCCTGTCATTTGATAAACTTCTCAGTTTATTTTGAGCAAAAAGTTATATCATGCCTACAGTTTGGTAGTAAAATATGAGCTATAAAATGACATAGGTTAAGTTCTTTCTTCCTGAAAGTTTCCTGCAAAGGAAGAATGATTACTTTCTGTATAAATGGTTCCACTATGGGTAATTGTGTTAGAACATATTTCACTATGGGTAATTGTGTTAGAACATATTTATGGTTTCCAAATTATGCAGAATGGAGAGTGTACCAACTCCCACCTCTAACACAGATATAAACACTTAGAATTTTCTAAGAATGAGACCCAGAAATCTGTGTTTTTCACACAGTTTACAGATGAATCTAATGCAGTTAGGCTGGTGCTGCTCTGTGATTATGTTTGGAATTATTGGGCTAAATATACCTTATTCCTTCCAACCAAAACCTTGAGATCCTAATCTTATGGCTTAGAGCTTTCTTTAGGTGTTGTAAAATTGCATCTTTGATCATTCAATTCTGTTTTCTCCCCTCTTGCTTCTGACTAGTGTGATCCTGGAGGCTGTCTTATAGAATTGACAACCCAGTTGACCATTATAATGACGGGGAAACAGATTTTTGGAAACGTTAAAGAAGCCATTTATCCGTATGTATGACTCACAAGCTTTTTATTTAAGTAACCATGAAAGATTTCCCCTGGAAAAAGATGAAATTGTTTAATTATCATGGTGCCTTTGTTAGAAAATGGTTAAGCCAAAAGGAAAACTTTATTTTTAATCAACAGTGAAAGTTGCATTAAGGTAATATAAACTCTTATTTTTATTTATTTATTTTTTGGTTCCACGGCTAGCAAGACTTTTTTTTCCTTTTTTTTTTTTTTTTACTTTTTCCACATCTTTGCCAGTGCTTTTCTTTTTTTCTTTTTCTTTTTTTCCATTTATTTATTTTAGGTTTTGGGGTACATGTGAAGAACATGCAAGATTGTTGCATAGGTACACACGTGGCAGTGTGATTTGCTGCCTTCCTCCCCATCACCTACATCTGGCATCGCTCCCCTTGCTATCTCTCCCCAACTCCCCACCCCCAACCGTCCCTCCCCTATTTCCCCCCAACTGACCCCAATGTGTAGTACTCCCCTCCCTGTGTCTGTGTGTTCTCATTGTTCAACACCTGCCTACGAGTGAGAACATGCGGCGTTTGATCTTCTGCTCTTCTTGGGTATATAGCCAAAGGATTATAAATCGTTCTACTATAAGATTTTTAAAAATTTTTTAACAGACAAATAATAATTATACATATTTATGAAGTACAATATCATGTATTGAAAAAAATCTTTAAAATATGTACTTTTGTTACCTTTCCCTTTGTTGAGGGATTATTTATTCCTCTCTCCTCTGACGATTTTACTGGGACATCTAAATGCTATATCCTCTGCAGTTTATTCTACATGCTGTGCATTATTTCTGAATATTACTAAAAGGTGCACTTTGTAAAAATATCCTTGTGTCATGTAATTTAGGCATAAAAATAGATTGTAAATGAAATGACGGAGACTTTCAGGTCAATATATGAAAGATTCCTCTCTGATCAAAACACAGCAATAATGAATACATTCTAAAAAGAGAAGACTAAACTGACAGTTTATTTCAAATAGTAGATGAACATTTATCATAAGTCTATGTTCCTACAGGGTTCCTAGTTAGGAAATAACTATGTCAGGGTTTGTCATGCAATATAAAGTGGAGTAAAAGAGCTCCACTTAAGACAGGTACTATCCAGTTTAACAGCCCTGGAAGCCAGAGACTGGGTTTATTCTCTTACTCATGAAATAAGATTGAAAACATCATCCCTGCACTTTCCCACCTCCAGTATATACACGATTACACAGTGCCACTTAGGGCTGTATTTCAAGTACTAACAAAAGAAGAACACGGACTTATCCTTACAAATGCTCATAAATGTGAGCCTGACCTTCTAGTTTCATGCTTTGATATACCATATCCATAAGGGAAATAGCTCCAAACTTTTCTTTTTTTGAGAGTCTCACACTGTTGCCCAGGCTGGAATGCAAGCAATCTCAGCTCACTGCAACCTCTGCCTCCCAGGTTCAAGCAATTTTCCTGCCTCAGCCTCCCAAGTGAGTGGGATTACAGGCACCCACCACCACACCCAGCTAATTTTTTTTAATTTTTAGTATATTTTCTGTTTTTAGCATTCACAATGTTGGCCAGGCTGGTATCGAATTCCTGACCTTAGGTGATCTACCACCTCGGCCTTTTAAAGCACTGGGATTACAGGCATCAGTCACTGTGCCTGGCCACCAAATTTTATTTTCAGTTCTAGCTCTAGATTGAGAACCCACGGGACTGAATAGAGACAATACCTAAACCAAACAGAAGATGGGGGATACATGTGCACAGGGGAGAGAGCCAAAAGACAGGGGAGGTAAAATAATTAAAAAGAAGAAGCAGCAGCAGCAAATTAACAACAACAACAACAAAAATCTAATCCTTCCTAATAACCAAAATTCTAAAATGTGATAATGTTTAATGCTACAAAGGCTGTGAATAAAGTCAGTTACTAGAAAGTGAACTTACTCCTGGTGATATTTCTAACTAGAATATTCTGGCAAAGCCCTTAAAAAATGATGCTGACAATATTAATAACATAATGGAAGGTGATCTTATCATTAAAACAGATCAAGAAATTTTTAAATAAAAACTGTTAGAAATGAAATAAGAATAAGTGAATATGAAATGGAAGAAATTACACATAAATGAAAGATTATACTTTAAATAGTGAGTACAATAGATGGGAAAATTCCACAGTTTGATTCCACCCTGGACACAGTTGGAGAATGGATTAGTGAATTGGAAAATAATAGTGAGAAATTCCTACATTGTACAGTGTAACAAATATATGACATTTAATAAAAATAAACTAAGGATATGTTAGATTAAGAGGCTTCCACATTAATTTACTAGTATTTCTAGAAAAATTGAGTAAATGGTGAAGGAAAAAAATTATTTGAATAAGTAATTGCTGAACATTTTTCAAAAATGTGGAAAAACATGAGTTTCAGAAATGGAAACAAATTCTGGGTGTGAATCAAGATATTAGAATTCAATTCAAGATAATAGAATTCAATTCACACCCCAATTCATTATGGTGAAACTACAGAACACCAAAGATAAACAGATAATATTTAAAATCTTTTAGAAGAAAACGATTAACTTTATTCAAATGAATGTCATCTACACTATCATCAGTTTCTCATCAATATCATTAGATGCCAAAAGATAGTATTTTCAAGGTTCTCAGTGAAAATAATGTTCTCCTTTTATTTCTAGAACCAGGTTAGCTATTATTTAAAGTGCTGGTAAAGACATTTTTAGACATAAAAAGACTAGGAGAGTTTACATTTATAGATCATCATGGCAAAAACTACTGAAAGATTTACTTGAGGAAAAGGAGATCACAAAGTGAAAGTACAGAATGCAAGAGACATTGGTTAGCACAGAATGTGTTAGCTCCAAACAAATGAAATACTTTGGTAGAATCTAAAATCATATAGGATTTGAGTGGGGAGAACTACAAAATCCTGGTGAAATTTTAAAAACTATATAAATGGAGAGAAATATCATGTTGGTGGTCAATTATCTCCAAATTGATACATATAGATTTATTGTTATTCTAATCAAAATATCAGCAGGCTTTTTATAGGTATAGACAAGTGGATTCTAAAATTTATATGAAAGGCCAAGGAACTAAAATAACCCAAAGCAGTATGATAAAAGAAGAATAAAGCTGTAGTAATTACCCTACTCGATTTTAAGGCCTACTACAAACTATATTAATCAAGACAATGTAGGATGGTGATGAGGTAGTTACATAAACCAATGGAACCAAGTAGAGATTGTAGAAACAGATATTGCAGAAATTTGTGCTCTAGTCAAATATGACCATTTTATTTAAGACAGGGGTGCAAAAACAATTCATTGATGTAAGATTAGACTTTTTCATAAATGGCATTGGAACAATTGGACATCCCACATGCAAAATAATAAAACTCTATGTGAAACTTACACCTCATTCAAAAATGAACTCAAAATGGATCATAGACAAAACTATATTTTATAAAACCAACTAAGCAATTATGTAAACTTTAAGATAACGGTTAGGGATGTCAGAATTGAAGAATTCATAAATGGAATGAAGCCCATGAAAGAGCTTCTGAAATTTCTAGCCATATTCTCTTTCTTGAACTAGGTGATCTCTTTTCCACTGTGACCCCAGTTATAGTATGCTCCTGTGTTTGATTATTGTCTCAGAAATCTCAGGTGCTTTTCCTCTTTACATTCTTTTTTTTTTTTTTTTCTTTGTGTCTGGTTTGAGTATAAGCAACATATAATTGTTCCTCTTAATCCACATTTGCTACAGTAATTCATATTGTCTTATTAATTTTTGCCAACTGGGGTTATAAATGATACCTTGTTTTGGTCTAATTTTGCATTTTTTTGATTAATATCATGAATAAGCATTTTCAGCCAGATTTGTTTCCCTTTCAATTAAATTGAAATTTAATTTCATCCCTTGTTCATGTTGTTTAACTGTTTTCCTACTTGTCTATCTTTTTTCAATTGATTTGTATGTATAATTTCAAACTCCTGGTTACTGGCTTTTGTTTGTTTGCTTCTTTTTTGGTAATATATGTTGAAAATATTTTATTCTAACATGAATTTTATTTTTTTATTTTTTAATAGTATGTTTAGGTCACAGTTTCACAACCACAGAATTATTGACATAATTATTAGTTGTGGGGGTGCTTGTCATCCTTTGCATTGTAAGATGTTTGACAGCATCCTTGGACGGTACCCACTAGATGCCAGTAACCCATCTTTCCCCAGTTGTGATAACCAAAATATCTCAAGACAGTGCAATTGTGTCATTGTGGGCAAAATTACTCCCAGTTGGAAACCACTGCTTTAGATAAAATTACATAACTTTAAAAGAAATATTTTCCTACACAAGATTATAAGACATTTTCATTATTATTTACTGTATTGGTTAAAGACATGCCCAAAGTAAGATCCTAGGCAAAATACTGAATATGCAGACATACTGATAAAAAGTTATATGAAGGCCGGGCGCGGTGGCTCATGCCTGTAATCCCAGCACTTTGAGAGGCCGAGGCGGGTGGATCACGAGGTCAAGAGATCGAGACCATCCTGGTCAACATGGTGAAACCCCGTCTCTACTAAAAATACAAAAATTAGCTGGGCATGGTGGCGCGTGCCTGTAATCCCAGCTACTCAGGAGGCTGAGGCAGGAGAATTGCCTGAACCCAGGAGGCAGAGGTTGCGGTGAGCCGAAATCACGCCATTGCACTCCAGCCTGGGTAACAAGAGCGAAACTCAGTCTCAAAAAAAAAAAAAAAAAAGT